GATAAGGGGCAATCCTGCTTTATTCATCCTTCATTTTAAAACAAATTTAAGGTTGAATATTTTGATACAGAGTAAGTATGACTTCTGATTATTTTAATTTTTTTCAGTTGTACTGTTCACATTGTGAATTATTTTGCAAATAACATTTAAACATATATGTATTTTGAAGTAATGACATGAATTCTTGTAGACTATGTTCAACATTCCTAGGGTTCTATGGAATGTATCTAAATTCTAGAGATGTTATGAAATGTAATGTTAAACTTTACCTAGATAACGATTATCCTTTATTTAGATAAAAAAGACTATCTAATAGGCATTTTTCAGTGCAGATCTGACTGGACTGCTTTTGTTTTTCTACAGACAAGTTGGTTTTCTTTGATTGGATAAAAATTTTAGAACTAAAGAAATTGTGTTTATTAGTCCAAATTATATAAACTGGATTATTAATGTTTGGTATTTTTCCAGCCTAAGAGCTAATCTTTTCAAAAACCTTCCATTGCTTAAAATTGGCAAAAAGGGGTCTTGTGACACTGACTCATAAACTGTCATTTCCCCTCCTACATGAGACCACTCAGATCAAATGAGACAAGGCTCCTGCAGCGTGGGACAAAGATGCTTTGCAAGTAATCCACAATGTCTTCAGAGAAAATTGTTCAGAGATGGTGGCAGGGGGAGGGTGGATCACATGGAGCTACTTGTCAAACCCTACCAAAAATAAATGGGGGAGGTTATGGAAAGGGAGTTCTTACACTCTTATGTGAGCTAACACTAAAACCCTTCCCCCAAGTAGAACTATTAAATATTTCAGACTATTTCAGAAATAAGCATCTAACTCCTTATGTTCAAGTCCCTTGATGTGATTTGCACACCAATCCAACAATGGACTGCCAGCCAGATGGCATGGAGCCCCAATTCTCTCAAGATTAAGGGGATGAACTTAATGGGAGATTTGAAATAGACTCCTTCTGAAATTAAGGGAAACTTCCTGATAACTTGCTTTGCCTGCAGGGTACTAGGGATTGAACCCAGGGTCACTCGACCACGGAGCAATATCCCCAGCCCTATTTTGTATTTTATTTAGAGACAGGGTCTCACTGAGTTGCTCAGCGCCTTATTGTTGCTGAGGCTAGCTTTGAACTCTTGATCCTCCTACCTCAGCTTCCAGCACCTAGGATTGCAGGCATGTGCCACCACACCCAGCTGAAACAGCCCCCTGAAATAGCTGTTAAAACAGCTACAAACTGTTTTAACTTCTGAACTTCCTCCCACAGAGGAAAGATGCCAAGGAAGTTGAGACTGACAGGTTCTATGGCTAACTAAATCTGCTTATATACATTTCCTGCCTTTTTCTTTGCCTCTTCTTATAAGAGCTTCCCTCGCCCTTGAGCTTTCTGAACATGGAGATTTGAGATGGGAAGTCTCCTCTAACTTCCTTGAGAGCTGGCCTATTTTCCTGCCAACTTAATTCTGCATGTTAAGCCTCGCTTCTTATCCCTGATAGTAATAAGCTCTCTAGTCAATGAACAAATCCTAGCTCAGACTTTCACTTAATGAGTGGCCTTAGGCAAGTGACCTAATCTATTTCTATCACTTTTCCACCTATTACAAATTGTAACAGTACATACTCAAATGAATACTGGGAGGATCCAATTACATGTGAAATCTTGCACTGCACAAAGGAACTGTTTTAAAAGTTTTACTCCAGCCGGGCACAGTGGCACATGCCTGTAATCCCAGCGGCTGGGGGGCTGAGGCAGGAGGATCCCAAGTTCAAAGCCAGCCTCAGCAAAAGCAAGGCACTAAGCAACTCAGTGAGACCCTGTCTCTAAATAAAATAGAAAACAGGGCTTGGGATCAGTGGTCGAGTGGCCTTGAGTTCAATCTCTGGTACCAAAAAAAAAAAAAAAATTAGCCTGACAACTGTTGTGATTATAAAGAGCCATTACATTACTATAAAAAGAAATAAGGAGTATCTTTATATATTTATCATGTTCTTGAATGTGTGAAAAAGAAGGTAGACAAAACTGCATAGTATGCTACCATATTTTTAAAGAGAGAGAGAGAAAAAAATTTTTTTTAATATTTATTTTTTAGTTTTCAGCAGACACAACATCTTTCTTTGTATGTGGTGCTGAGAATCGAACCCAGGCTGCACATATGCCAGGCGAGCACGCTACCGCTTGAGCCACATCCCCAGCCCAGTATGCTACCATTTTTTAAGGAAAGAAATGAATATGAATATATATTAATATATGCTCATATTGTTAAAAAATTATGGAAGGATAAACCTTTAAATTTCACTAAAGGAAATGGAAGGAGGAAGGGAGGACGTAAGATGAAGAAAGAAGCTAGACTACTCTGAATATATTGTGTTTTCTAGATTTGACCTTGGAACTAAGTAAATATTTTAAAATGTTTTATAGAATCTTAAAGAAAAACAATATACAATAATTCCTAATAACAGTAAACATCCTTTTTGTCTGCCTTTCCTAAAGACCAGACAGAAATGTCTTGATTCTCAGTGCATCAACATGAATTAATTTGACTCAGTATACACATACAACAGTCTCAGACTAATACTACAATATTAACCATCAGATATAAAATGAATAAATTAAAAACTTAAGTCCAGAATTTCATTTGGAAGTATCATTTTGAATACATGAGGTATTTTTTTCTTTTAAAAAAACTTATAAATAGTTCTTAACTCTGTCAGTGAAAAGGCCTAGAAATGATTCCCTAACATCCATGCTGTGGTATTAAAAACTAAAAAGATCCAGGGCTCCCTAGAGGAAATGGTCAATTCCAAATCAGAGACAGGGAATATACAGAATGAGCCATGAACTTGTAGCACCAGAAAGGAAGGACAATACCAAAGGCTTGGGGGCCAAGTTGAAAGAGTTTCTACCAGCCAAATACAGGATAGTTTTGACTCCTAATAAGGATAATAAGGCAATTGATTAAGAAATAAAAATATTTAAATCCTTAAGTCTGAGAATGATACATTAAAAAGGGCAAATTATTGTTTACCTTTGAATTAAGCTATAAAATCAACTCATTTCAAACTTTAAAAAGTCACTTAGCCCATCTTTTCTGTATAATATATAGCTCGTGGTATCCAAATAATATATGCAGGGCAAATTCTCAATATAAGCATTCCATCAAGAAAATGACAGAATGAAAACATCACCATTTTGCAGCCATTAATGAACTAATGGGTCTGAGCAGTAATCACCAATAACTGGTAGTTACAGATAACCATGCATAACATGCCTCCTAGCAGAAATTTTTAAATATTCCAAATATGATCCAGCTTCTAGATCTACCAACTTAAAGGAATAACTGGGGAGAGTAGATTGTGTCAAATACCACCATGGGGTATTTAACAGAAAAATCCAGAATCCATAATACTAAAGGACAAATCACCTAGTTGCTTATAACAACAAATGGAAAAAGAGATGAAGGGGAATCTATAGGTAAGAGAATGAGTAACTATAAGCATACCCAGCTCCCGGTGCTGATTTTTAAGTACCAATCCCATTAAGAGGAACAAAAGATCCTTGCAGAAGTTGCTGATTCCAGGTCTAAAACAGAAAGGTGATGTAGAATGTGTATTTGTGCTAGAATGTAAGCAAGTGCTCCAAGAATGATAGGGACATGGGGAAAGGACAGGGGAACTACCCTGAAAAGAATTCTGCTAGCCAAACTGAGCACAGTTTGAACACAAAAATGAATAATGACAGTAATGGATGGTAATAGTGAAAAAAATAAACATTAATAACTGCTTCAGGCAAGAATCATCAGTGAATATTAAAGCTAATGGGCAAAAGTTTTGAGGAAACATACAATTATCACAGGGTACAACAGTTCCATTGCTATGTATCTGCTCAAATGAGAACATACGTCACCACACAAAAAAAAAAGTGCAAATAAATGTTATAAGCATTTTTCATAATAGCCAAAAAGTAGAAACCACAAAAATGTTCAACAAATGAATAAATAATGTGGTCCATACATACAATGGAATATTATTCTTGTGTAAAAAATAAAGTGCTGGTTCATGCTGTAATGTGAATGAACCTTAAAAACAGGTCACATGAAAGAAACCAGACATAAAAGGCCATATTTTATATGATTCCATTTATATGAAATATCCAGAGTAGGCAGAACCATAGAGGCAGAAAGTAGATTAGTGGTTACCAGCAAATGGGGAAAAGAGGGAATGGAGAGTGAGTGTTAAGAATAGGGGTTTCATGGGCTGAGGATATAGCTCAGTTGGTAGAGTGCTTGCCTCACATGCACAAGGCCCTGGGGTTCAATCCCCATGTACCACACATGAAAAAAGAAAGAATAGGGGGGTTTTTTTGGAGACAATGAAAATGTTCTAGCATTACTAGTGATGGTTGCACAATTCTGAATATACTAAAAACCACTGAACATTTGAAAAGGCTAAATTTTGTAATAGTGAATTATATCTTATTATTTTAACAAACAGATAATCAAGGAGCTCAGTGGTAAAGCACTTATCTAGCATGCACAAGGCCCTTGGTTCAAACCCTAAATACCACAAAAAAAATCAAGATATTTTAGGATATCAAGTCTGACAGGAAATACCTAAGTCAAACAAGAAGTATGAACTGGAGAATCCAATATGGAATTAGCATTAGTATCCAGGCCTGTGACTAATGTGGGCCTGGCAGATAAGTCAGTGATGGGCGAGAATCATAGAAAAGGTAGTGCCAGGGAGTGACAGCATTTAAAAGACACTTACATATAAAAGGAATTGTGCAGAAACTTGCTGGGGAGTATCAACTTAACAAGAGCAATGTGGCATGTGGGAACAGGGTTAGGCTATCAATCTTATATCTGTGGTGTTCCTATCCCCATCCAACAGCATCAAATGGTCACAATATTATCCTAGGACATTCTTGGAAGCCCTTTCACAGGAATTTATAGGCTAGGGCCTCGTGCTCAGAGTCTGAGTCAATCCTATTTACCTGGAAAGCTCCAAATTGGAATTCTGTCTTCTGCTGGGCATAGCTCTTCCACCTCCAACTTGAGGATGAGGTCTGGTTTACAAACCTGTTGCCCTGTTAATGACAAATAACAGATAGCTTCTTGGTATAATTCTTCAGAGCCAAGGCAAAAGAAGTTTCAGTTTGGTGACAGCACAAGGGAACCTGTTGTTTGATACAATGGTAATGTCAAACCATTTAACTTGGATTTTTAGTTCTCAAATACCTTTTCAGGAAAGAAAAGTGGGAAATTGAGAAACAAAATATCCTCCATTTAATGCAGTAATCATAAACAGCAAAATTACCTGAGGAAGCCATTCTTACCCACGGAGACCAGGTTGCTGTAGGTCTCTAGCATCACATCTCGGTATAAGGTCCTCTGCAGAGAGTTCAGGTACTGCCACTCCTCCTGGGTGAAATCCACAGCCACATCCTCAAATGTCACTAGTCCCTGTAATGGCACATTCCTTTTATTCTAAAATGCTGACCACCAGGTAATAAGGATAGAACACAGGAGAACTTCTAATTGGGTTCCCCAGTCCTCATGATGACAATACACAATATCTACTTCATATCAAGTTAGTGAAATACTTTGTATGAAAATCACAAATCATGAGAGAAAAACTATTCCATTAAGAAATAGAGGGCTTTTTTGGTTTTTTTTGTACTAGGGATTTGGCACCAGGAATGTAGCTTAACCACTGAGCTACATCCCCAGCCCCTTTTCTTTATTTTGAGATAGTCTCATTAAGTTGGTTAAGGCCTTGCTAAGTTGCTGAGGCTGGCTGTGAACTTGAGATCCTCCTGCCTCAGCCTCCTGAGCCACTGAGATTACAGGCATGCACCACCACATCTGGCAATAGAGTATTTAAGATGATGCAATATTAGCACAAGGATAGACAGTCTAGTGGGAAAAAAAAGAATCCAAACATGTATAGACAGCTGACTTATGACATTTGGCATAGCAAAACAATGGAGAGAGTATGATCTTTTCTTTTTTTAATATTTAATTTTTTTAATTGTAAGTGGACACAACACCTTTATTTTATTTTTATGTGGTGCTAAGGATGGAACCCAGGGCCTCACGTATGCTAGCTGAGCACTCTACCTCTGAACAACAACCCCAGCCGGAGAGTATGATCTTTTCAATAAATGTAAATGGATTATTAGATGTCTATATGAGGGAAAATGAAATTTATCCCCTAATACATGCAGATCACCTGCAGGTAAACTATAAATCTAATGTAAAAAGTGACACAATAAAGTGTCCATAAAATAACTGTAGGGTCACCTAATCACCCCTCCCCTTTCTGTGTCTTGACTACTTTGTGACCCAGACAGCTGTAGGTATTTCCCTGCAGGTTTGAGCCCAAACTGGTGCCTTGAACATTCCCAGTCACTGATAAACTGGTTTAGGTGGTTGCCCAAATCCTTAAATCCTCATGTCCCCCTCACTGCAGACAAATCTAGCTAGGTAGGACATCCCTGTCTCTCATTGTCATGATGCTGAAGCCCACTCTGTAAGTTTTAATAGATGCTCAGGAATGATCATCTGGCTTTTTAGTGCTTCTTTCATTACAATCCCAACAGGCCCCATAGCAAGACAATTGGGGCACTCCCCTTGTAGGAATTCCCCTGCTGCCTTTTTTTTTTTGTGGTGCTGAACATTGAACCCCCTTCCTTGCACATGCTAAGCAAGCACTCTGCTACTGAGCCACATCCCAGCACATGCTGCCTCTTTGGGGACAACATCAGACTGGATTCAGCAAAATAAAACAATAATATAGAAAATATGTTCATAAGTCTAGGTGACAAATTCTAAATCAAGACATGAAAAGCACTCATAAAAGGAGAGACTTGGAGTGTTACAAGATTGAAAGGGTAACAGTGAAAAGGCAAGCCATTAAGGGAGATCACCTGCAATATTCATGAAGAGAACAACCACTGTCCTATCTGTAAGAAATACACAACACAAAACAGTGGACAATAGAAGTGAATAGGTACTTCCTTAAAAATGAGAACCAAGTGACCTATGAACAGAAGAAAATGTACTTGTCCTTGGCACTCAGATACATTGCAATGTATTCAATCTTATTAGCACTCGGGAAATGAAAATTTAAGCTACACTGAGACACCTGTATGTACTTGCCAGAAAAGGTATAATTAAGCAGACTAATGCACCATAATGTTGCACTGAAATGGGAATTCTCAGGTCCCATTAGTAGGAATGTAACCTGGTATAATCACTTGAAAAATACATGGCATGATTTACTAAAGTTAATGATTTGTATACACTATGACCCAGAAGCTCCTTCCCTAGGTACTCACAGAAAATTATGCACATGTGCTCTAGGAAACAAGTCCAGGGATACTCAAAGAAGCACTGCTTCTAATACTAATTCATGGAAAAAATCCAAATGTCCATTACCAGTAGAATGAGTAAACTGTGGCACAATCATTCAATGAAATGCTGTATGGTGACCAAAAGTAATGAACTACACCTGCTTGTTGTAATGCAGGTTCACTGTTCACTTGTTACCAATTTGAATCATGTGCAACCATTCACACAAGTTATATGGAGTGGGATTATTCTTTAGATAGGCATCAAGGGACAACAGAATCCTAGGATTCATTGTGAGTTGGTACCCCAAGTGTCAGGAAAGTTGATCAGGGCAGATAAAGTTTTCTGAATATGCCTCACTTGCACCATAGTGAACTGACCTCAGAAAACAGCCAGTCCTGTGTTTTATATGTTAGGGGCAAATGAACCATTGAAAGACATCCTGTTTCTAGGAGGGGACTGGATCAGGGTTCAGGTTATTCTGGCTAGCTCCCCACTTATCTCAGATATTACATTCCCAGCACATTCTACAGTTATTCTTAAGAAATATAAATAAGAGTCAGTGTGGTGGTGCACACCTATAATCCCAGCGGCTCAGGAGGCTGAGACAGGATAACTGCAAGTTGGAGGTCAGCCTCAGCAATTTAGTGAGACCCTGATTCAAAAAATATGAAAGGCTGGGGATGCAACTCAGTGGTTAAGTACCCCTGGGTTCAATTCCCAGTACAAGGGGGAAAAAAAAGAACTACAAATAACAAAGAGGTGAAAACTAGTCCAAGGCCACCCAGAGGACCTTCCTGCACATATCCAACACAGATAAATATAATAAATGTACTAATGAGAAAAAGAAGCCCCGAATATACTCCATATTTCTATTTATAAATTGTAAGAGAACAAGCTAGGCTAGTTAATCCATGATGTTAGCAGTGAGGATAATAATTACTTCTACATATGGCAAAAATTTAGAGAAGGGAATGAGAAGGGTGCTGAGGTCCTAATTATGTTCTTTCTACATTTTAGCCTAGGTGGTAGCTACAGAGTGTGTTTTCATGCTTGTGATAATACATCCAACTGTATACTTAAAAACTGTGCACTTTATATGCACTTTATATCTTTATTTGTAAGAATTATTTGCAGGGTTGGGGTTGTGGCTTAGTGGTAGAACACTGGCCCTGGGTTCAATCCTCAGCACCATATAAAAAAATAAATAAATAAAGGTATTGTGTCCATCTACAACTAAAAATATTTTTTAAAAGAACTGCTTTTAATAGAGCTGGGAATGTGACTCAGTGGTAGAGCATTTTGTCTAGCATGTGTGAGGTCCTGGGTTCAATCCCCAGCATCAGATACAAAAAATATTTTCAACAAAAAGAGGCAAATCAATGGGAAAATGGGAGTTTCTATGTCAACAAATTATTCTGAAACAACCGGATATTCTTCTTTTAAAAAAAATGTTTATTTTTGAGTTGTAGTTGGACATAATACCTTTATTTCACTTATTTACTTTTATGTGGTACTGAGGATTGAACCCAGATCTCACACATGCGAGGCGAGTGCTCTACCACTGAGCCACAATCCCAACCCCTGGATAGTCTTTAAAAACCTCAATAACTCCAACATAAAATTAACTCAAAGTGCATTATAGATGTAAATGTAAAATCTAAACCTATAATATTTCTTAGAAGAAAATACAAGAGAAATTCTTTTGAACCTTTAGTTAGCCAAAAATTTCTTAGATGTGACACCAAAATTCAAAAGACATTGTTAAAGAGATTGAAAAGTCAGAGAATGAAAGAAATTATTTATAGATCAAACATCTGGCAAAGAACTTGTATTGAGAATACAAACAAGAACTATCAAAACGTGAGGGGAGGGCTGGGGTTGTGGTTCAGCAGTGGCACACTCACCTAGCACGTGAGAGGCCCTAGGTTTGATCCTCAGCACACATAAAAATAAGTAAACAAAATAAAGGTATTGTGTCCAACTACAACTAAAAAATAAAGATTTTTTTTAAAAAGTGAGGGGCGTTACTGGAGAATTTATCAAATTATATTATTTGCATGTATAAATATGACACAATGAATCCCACCATTATGAATAATCATAATGCACCAATAAAATGGGGAAAAACCTAAAAAGTGAAGCAAAAGCTAGATGCCTCACCAAAGAAGAAATATAGTTAGCAAATAAATACATAAAAATTTTCTCAACACCATTAATCATAAGGGAACTGCAAATTAAAACAACCATGATACACCACTGTACACTTATTATAATGTGGGGGATAACAATACATAGGGCTGGTAAGGATATGGAGCAACCAGACTTCTACTGGCAGGAATGTAAAATGGCATAGCCCCTTTGGAAATGGTTTTCCAGTTGTTCATGAAGTTAAGCGTGTACTACTACATAATCTGGCAATCCCACTCCCAGGTATATTTACCTGGGTGAAATGAAAACTATATAAATCTCAAACCCTATAAAGGAACATACATATGTACACATGTATGTGTATATATACGTGTGTGTGTGTGTGTGTGTGTGTGTGTATATATATATATATATATATATATAGAGAGAGAGAGAGAGAGAGAGATTGAACTCAGGGCCTTGTGCATGCTAGGCAAGTGCTCTACCACTGAGCTATACCTGCTAGCCCCTAGCAGCTATATTTTTTATTTTTAATCACCAAAACATGGAAATAACCTAAATGTTCTTCAACCAATGGATAAACAACCTGGATTACACACAATGTAATATTACTCAGCAATAAAAATGAAAGAACTACCAGGCATGGTGGTACACACCTGTAATCCCAGCACCTCAGGAGGCTGAGGCAGGAGGATCCCATGTTTGAGGCCAGTCTGGGCAGCTTAGCAAAACCCTGCCCAAAATAAAAAAATAAAAAGGGCTGGGGACATAGCTCAGTGGTAGAGCGCTCCTGGGTTCAATCTTCAGTACCACACACAAACACACAAAAGAACTAATAACAGTCAACAACATGGATGAACCTCAATGTATTCTGCTACATCAAAGAAGCCAAACTCAAAATGACACTTTGAATGATTCCATTTATATATGGGGTAAAAGTGAAAGTGCAGAATGGAAAT